TTACACACGGGATTGGCGACACTATGAAGCAATAAAGAGCATTCTTCTATTCTATAAAGAGCATTATTTACAATTTTTCGGCAACGGAATTATATTTTCTATCTTTAGAAGAGGACTGGGTTCACGTTTCGACGATTTCTGCCTTCTGACAAGTTAAACACGCAGTTCGAATTCTTATTTTATTAAGTGCAAATTTAAAATCAAAGAAGCAGAAAAAAAATTCTGATAAAAAAATTGAAAATGTTCAGGTTTTATTTACGCCCAAAGGGCCTTTTTTTAACGTTTTGGTATTTGCCTAAATAGCATGTTCTTCGCACTTTAAAAATCGCACCCATAAAATTCAATCCAACAGCAATATCGCAAAATCATTTAAAAGCAGCATTTCTTTAGAATTTCCGATACACAGTCTCGCCCGCCTGGAGAAAAAAATGTTCCCCCCCCCGTACAGCATTGCCATTTCTCGCTGTGAAATTGTTGAGTTTCTTAATCAAAAACTCATAAATGCTTTACAAAATGTGATTCGAAAGCAATATTGCAGAGTAATGTATTGAATACATCATTTCGCAATATTGATTATGGAAAGAAAATTTTAACATAGCATTTAAAAACCATTAAATCATAAATGAATTTATTATTTTTAATCAGTGAAACAAATTATATAATTTTGTTGAAAGAAGAAAATTTTGGAATAAAGAAAAGAATGATATAAAAGGATAACAAACAATTATTAAATGCTCATAGCTTTTAAAAATTATCGTCACATCGCAATTAAAAAAAATTTAAAAAGTTTTATACTACAGTTTTATAGTGGTATAAATAATTTTCTGAAAATCTAATTTACACGACTTACAAAATATGTTACCTTTATTATATTCTGGAAAGAGCTTTTATAAATAATGTGAAGGATTTTACAATTGACGAAATTTCCAAATTCTAAATTATGTTTTTGTCATTACATGTTGAATAAAAATAGCGAGGGCGCAGCGCATAAAAGTATGCGGGCGGCCAAAATCAGGGGCGGCCGGACTTTCGCAATAGCGCGCCTAAATATTTTAAATTCAATAAATTCATTGTAAGTACTTTTTATACGATTTGTCATATGTAAGGACTTAATGAGTATGAAATGAAATTATATTTATCACTGAGCATTTTTTTTTAATTTAGGGGCGGCAGTCTTTGGAAAGTACGGGGGCAGCCAATGGCCTAGGAACGGCCCTGACTACTGCCTAAACAAGAATTCCTTTTTTGTAAATGTATTTTTTTGGGGGGTTTTCAATCGATGTTTTAGTGCAGCAAAACACTACATATTCTTTAAGATGCATGTAAACATTTATTGGGGGAAAACATAATTCTGTTTTTCGGCAAATGTTTTTCGCAGTATCTTATTTAAGTGCTTTTAAAAAAGGCTTGAAATTATAAAATCTTATTAACTGTTTGTAATAAACATTTTCACTCGTAAAATGACAGCGAAATTTCCACTTTTCAACAGAAGTAAATTCAACCCTTACAATATACACCTCTTCTAAAAAATTAACCCTTATTGCACACAGATTACTCAAAAAAAAAAAAAAAAAAAAAAAAAAAAAAAAAAAAAAACTCAAGTTTTGTTTTAGGTCATATGGCAGCAAACATTTAGAAATAATTATAACATGTCTGGTCGCGTGATCTCGAAGATTAATAAGATAGATAGATATTTATTTGAGTGAACTCAAATTCCACAGACGATTATCTAAGAAATAAAGCAAGACAAATTTCATTATCAAGAGTATCGACCTAGCGGAGAAGATAAAATAACTTGGAAGATGCTGCTACAACACACGCCATCTAGTAATCATTTTCCTCGATCGAAATTCGATCGAAGAATTTGAAAGACAGGGTAAGAGCGGGCGGGATTGTGAAAGAAGAAAGGTCATGGAAAATGTTCAAAGTTTAGTAGGATACGATCCTTTTAACCATCGCCTTTTTTGCTTCCTCAAAGTTGCCGCGCTATTTTTCAAAATAACAAATAGCGAATGTCGATAAGATGCAAAATTGTCGGCTGCTATCAACATGAAACACTCCTATCGGAAAACAAAACAAAAAGAAAAAAAATTTTAGAAATAAATGAATGATTCTACTACAGTTATTTAAAGGATTGTTTTATATAAACAATGTTCCTTTATTCTGTTCCATATCTCATTAAAAACAGATGAGTTATATCATGTTTTGCACATATGTAAATAATTTTAGTGAACGCATATGTGAAATTGTAGGTTTTTATGTAGAACATATGAAATGCTTGAAAGAGAAAATGCTCTGCCAGAAAATTAACAATACACGCGCATAACATCCTTACTAATAAACTCTACAACTGTCTCAGTTTAATATTTTATGCGTCTGTCTGTAATAAGTTACGATGTTCCGAGTAAATTCCCCCAAGATTCCTTCAACATGATTCACACATGAAGCCAGCAAAACTTTCACGACAAAAATGATTCGAGTTCAACTCGGCTGTCATGTACGCGACATCAAAATCTAGTATGTCCCAGAGACATTCTGACGTCCCATAAACAAACCGCAACCGAGACAGGTGCTATTCGGAGGCTACTCGCCACGTGGCACACAAAGCGGCATCTGGCATCGGACCAGATTCCTGCTAAAAAAAGTCCCGCTTTCCTTCTCTTCCTGTCTCCTTGCGAAAGGCGCAACCCTTTGAACAGCAAATTAACGCCGTATGCGCATCCTCATCTAAATCGCAGACAGAAACTGTCCTGCACTGTTGCCAAATATAAGAAATAAATTCCAACGTAAAAAGTATAGTAAAAGATTTAATTGACAGACGAGATTTGGCAAATAAAATATAACATTCGAAAGTGAGCTTAAAAGTCCTGATCAAATCAGCAGAGCGTCCAAAAAAACTGATATTATACCAAGGATTGAAGTTAAACGAAATAAATTCAATATTAAAGATTATTAAGATAAATAGTCAAAAATAATTTCAGATGTTCCTTGAATATCGGAGTTCTGAACTAATATATATATTTTTTTGTAATGAGTAGATTCAGATATTTAGACATTTGCCACAGTTCGTAAAATTCAAACGTGAGCCTTGTGGTCTAGAAATGTATGTACATTTGAAAAATAAATGCTTGATACATTATTTAATACCGTAAAATATGCACAAATATTAAACATAAAAGCTAATTACAACAATTTTAGCTTTCATGCCCAGTGTAAAAAAATATATGCAACACCGACATATTTTTTCTTTTGCCTTTTTTTTAATTACAATAGCAGAATGAAACTTTTTTGGGGTGCATACTGGAAAAATCTATGGTATTACTGATTTAAATACCGATCACAGTTAAAGATGAATATTTTTTTATTTTTTTTTACTCTAATTTGGTTTTCTATTGAAAGATTCAAAGTGAACACGATCAGGAATTATAAGTTACAATTAAATATTTTTTAAACTTTTTGAAGTTGAAATACTATTTTGATTTTCCGTCAGACTAGTTGACAAAAAAAAAAAAAAAAAAAAAAAAAAAAAAAAAAAGAGTAAATGTTAAAAGATTTTTTTTTTTTTTTCGGAAATTCTTGCGTGGCTGAATTTCAGGAAAGCAGATAACTCCTAGTTAAAATTGCAGTTATGAAATTTCATGTTCATATTGTAGAGACATTAGGTATTTTTTGGAGCAGGCATGATGAAAATTATGCAACCACCTTCGCCGGGAATCGAAGCACGGACTTCTGGAATACCGGCCCAGCGTGCAGAACCACTACACCACGAAGGCACGCTAGGAAGGCGGGATAAATACCTTATAATATAAGTTTTATATATTCAGTTTGAAATAAACTGTTTTATTTACTAAAAAAAACTCTTTTTTTTTTTTTTTTTTTTATACGTTTCAAATAAATTTAATTTAGGAGGTATACGTACAAATTTAATTTAAGTGTGAAATGTGAAATATCTTTATTGAGCTTTAATAAAGCTTCTTATAAAATGCGGATTTAATACACGTTCACGCATAATACAACATATTTCGCAATTAGTTAACAATAAATACTTTTAGAAAACTAAATTTCTGATAACCAACAAAGCCGTTGCTTTAACAACAACGAATAGAATATTCTAGGTCAAGGGTGGCCAGAGTGCGGCTTGCGAGCCTGATACGGCTCTCGTAGGCAATTTGTGAGGCTCATTACGCATATAAAATATATGTATGAAATATGGTAAACTAAAACTATTCAGTGTCCAAAAATAAGTAATTAATTAGTTTAGACTCTTTTTACACAGTTATCAGGGATTTCTTTCTATTTGAAACCTCCTCCACTACTTCTATAATGATGTAACTATGAACTTGTGGCTTTTAGAAAATCTAGATGCGGCTCTCGAACATTCCTGAATTCAAACGTACTGACATGAAGTTGGCCAACCCTGTATTATAACTTATATTCTGATAATAAAAATGGTAACCAATTTTTAATCCAACATTTTATATGTGCGCATATTTAACACAAAGACCTAATAAGTTATGAAAATGGCAAAATATTTTTTTTAAATATTTCTATTCAGTAATTGAAAAATAATGATTGTAAAATGTAGTGGTGGTAGAAAAAAATTTTTAGTTCCGTAAGATGGTACACGGTAGTCAAAAGTTTGAGAACGCTGCCCTTAGACCATTCATAGTCGGTGACTTAGCAGAGGAATCATTAGCAAGAACATTTTTATTATCGATTTGGTATTATGTTATTGAGGATCTTCGTGAATTTCATTAAATATGTATATATTTATACGAAGTGCTAATACAGCTACAACACAATGCTATATTTACGATGAAATAGATGAAAAAAACGTCTTGTATTGAGGGAATTAAATTTGAAACAGGTGCATAAAACTAGTCGTATTAAATTTGATGAGCTACCGTAATTAATTAGTTGACTTTAATTAATTAATTAATTGACATTATCATTTGTTTAATGGTTAATTAAGTTTGTCTTTTGAAATGATATTTTCTTACCTGCATACTTGATGCCAAGTACACGAATAACTCCGTCAACATCGTAGAGAGATAAGATAGTTTTGACCACAACTTTCTAGAGTCGAATACTTTTTTAAAAAGCACCAAACTCATTGTCTTCTGCATACGAGAGCTTACATCCTCTGCGTCCTCTGAGAAACACGGAGAAAAATCCCAAGTAATCAACTAGCCGTGAAGTAACCGAGAGACGATGAGTTGCTTATATTCCTCAGATCTACGTAACGAGTTGAAAAATACCAGAGATGTGTTGTCGACTTCGAAGGCCTTGTAACTGAGAGGTCCAAAACTCTTATCACAGATACATCACAGAGGAAAAGGAGTCTTTGCATTTAATGCTCATTTCATTTTTATTTCTGCACTCTCCGATCAACGTTGATTTAGTTACATATTTAGTCACAACTGCCTTGGAAGCTCTGGCAGGCATCCAGCATGATTTGGATCCCAAGATTCCCAGCAATACGCGTAAATTTAGTAGAGAGCAAAGGTCATCTGTGACACAAAATATGGTGCCTGTTGGTGGAATTGATGTACAGCGTGAATTCTGGTTGTTCCCAGTTAAAATCTCGGTTGTGGTCTTGCGCTTGCTAAACTGCCAGATTAAAAAAACTACATTGTTGGCTTGAAATGTTTACGATCCGGTCCATTCGGGTTATTTCTTTCTCAGAAATTTTAATGGTTACCCGTTCTTCCGCAACGGGGGTTTTTCAGCTGGAGATGAACGTATAAGAGACCGTTTTATTTAGCCAGCAGTATTGCAGAATGGAAAAATACATTTAATAATTTAATGCACATTTAATGCAATAAGATTAAGGCTTAAAAGTGCTGAGAATAATAGGAAATGATTAAGAAAGTGGATGATTTTAAGGAACATTATCAAGTGGTAAAATGTCTTGGACTCTGTGCCGCGTCGTTGCATGGGATAATTTAATAATTAATTCCAGAATAGATTAAGCATATCGTTGTTCACAATAATAAAAAAAGACGACATCATCAACGTTAATACGTTTTTGTTTAAATTTTTTTCCTTTCGACAATCAACAGAAACTAAACTTCGATACTAAACAAAGATAACATTATGCGTAGAGGGAGCTGCTACAAATATAAACAATGCCGAAATAATGAGCATCTGTGGCTAATCATTGACGATTTATTTTTTACTACATTACGATAGAATTCAATCCTAACTAAAAAATGTCTGAGTCATGAAAGTACGTTACGGGAGTGATGCAACATGTCCGTGAGTCAACTTTTTGATTTACTTTGCTGGCAATTTTATCATCCGGTTTGTGCTCAGAAGGCATTTCAGTGTTTTAACGCCTCGTCTTTTTTTTTTGTACAAAGAATTAATTTAATTATTCCACCAAACTGTCATGCAATCGTTAATTGCTGGTAATTATTAATTTATTTAGTTTGTAATTTTTTTTTAAGTCTGTAAGAATATAGCGCCGTCCAACCGGTACAGTGGTGAATGCCATGCAGAAGGGGCTGGGTTTGAATCCCGGAGAAGGCATGGACGTCTGTAAATGGACAGTGTCCGTGCCGCATGGGGGCACTCTATATATGCGGGGAGCCGAAAGTCCTCTCAAGAGGTTGATGGTAGGGGAAGAGGGTGGGAGACCCTCGGACACGTCCCTCCGAGGTGATCCCCATCAAAATTGGCGAGGGGGTGTAAACTGAGCTAAATCGCACTGTCACCTGTAAGGTGCTCAAAGCTGTTGCCAACGGCAGTCGGAAACTTTCGCTCTTTGCCACGAGGAATTTCGTGGGCTTGGGCTGACTTATAGGTCAGACAAGTGACCATTAGCAACAACAACAGGATACAGCTAGGAAACTTTGAGAATGACCAAAAAGGTCTGAATTTCGGAGGAGAAGTTCATTTAACATTTTTAGTGTTGCCAACTAATCATTCATTGCATCATCAATAAATATTAATCATTAATTCCATCACCAATAAATCAATAATTAATTTCGCGAAATTTCGATCTTGGCAGACTATGTGCGCTGATGAGTTTTGGATAAAATATTTTGAAAAATTATATATAAATATTTATTTAGCTTTCAAATTTGCATTCGAAACTTTCTAACTTAATTATTAACTTACTTTCTGTTGCGAACCATATCATTCTGGAATACACCATTATGCTAATACACCTATTTTCAAAGTATTGGGACTGTAACAGTATGATTTAATGCAAAATATATGGCAAAACCACCTCGAAAATTTTTAGGCTTCGGAAATTTTTAGACAACTAGAAAATATTTCGTGTAATCGTACCAGTGCAGAATTTACGTATAAGCTACACAAGCTATAGCTTAAGGCCACCACTTTCTTGTGCCCCCCCCCAAATTAAAGTAAAGTATAAATATAGCATTAAAATATAGTATAACAGACTTATAAAGAGCCCCATATCTCAAATAGCTTAAGGCTTATTAAGTCTAAATCCGGCCCTGAATCGTATTCTTTTAGATAATTCATCCATACTTTCAAAATGCATGGCAAAGTTACAGAGAAGGCAGAGTTTTTCTCTATCTCTGTAAATTACATTTTGATTTTGCACTGGAAGAGAAAAACATATTTTTTTCCTTCATTCCACTTAATATTTTATCAAAAATGTTAAGCTAGCTACCAGGCCGTCCTAAAGACGAATGCAGTGCAAAGGGCGATTATGAAATTACTGTATTATGATAACGAACATTTGAAATACGTTTCATTTTCGTCAAGAGATGGCGCTCCTGCTCATAGACGCGATTTGTTAAATGAAATGAATGATGAGACTGTTAATCAATTTAGCCGTTTCAATTTAAACTTTATTCGCATTAAGTATCATTAAAGCAACTCGATCTCATATTGGCCGTTAGTAACCCATCAGAAGTTATTATAATAGATTTACTTAATTTTTCCTTATTCTCGTTTTAAATTTTAAAAAGATATCTTTTCCGTCGGACACTCTCTCGATATACTGTTTACTATGAAATATATGAATTTCGAAGCAATGTACTTTAATCACTCAGTATTTATAAAGTTAAAATTTCCTATGAAATTTAAAATTATAAGAGATATTTAAAAACCGTAACAGCTATTTTATGATGCTTGACAAAAATGTGTAGTTTTTAAATTAATTAAAAAGTGTTGCTTGCGTACGGGTTAGTAATAGATTGAATGCAGAAGTCCGATAATAAGTCAATACAAATTTTATCAAAAATATTTCAGAACTTCGGAATTTTCCACAATAATAATCGCACAAGTGTTCACAGTATAATCAGTAGTTACACTTCAAATTACTAAAAACGTTAAACACAACACAATGCAAAGGCATCTAAAAAGAAAGCTAAATCTGACATCTCAAATCACGCGGAACTAAACAACTCGCAACAACAGTCACTAAGCAACTGAACTCAGACGCTCTCTGTCTCCGGCATTTTATAGGTTTCAAGCTGTCGCGAAATATTTCTAGTACACTGGAAAGCAATAAGAGTATGGAATTACGGTTACAGCTAACATAGTGGTTAATTACATTTATTCAATTTTAATACAAATTTTTTACTTTTCCGGCTTAGCTTTCCCTTAAAAATTGTCACTTAAACCTTGCAAAGATAATTTTTAGATACACCCCTCCCCCATTTTTCATAATATGTATAATCACAATTCTTGAAATTTTACAGTATAAGTCACTAATAGTTAAAATTACGAGTTCCGAAAATTAAATTAACACAGCGATTCTCAATCGGTGGTACGCAAAGAAACAAAGTAAGTAAAAAGCATTTTTAACGATTAAATTCAAAAATCTCGTGAAGAAAAAGAACAACTGATAAAAAATTTCTGTAACTGAACTCTGACTGATGATTTCAAAAGTTAAAAAGTCACTTGTTAACTTTTAGCTGAACCGAAAAAAAGAATTTAAAGGCATTTCAAAAAAGCTATTAAATTTTTATTCCCTTTTTGCACAACCTACTTGTGTGAATAAGGATTTTCTTCCATGTTATATTTGAAAAAAAAAAAAAAAAAAAAAAAAAAAAAAAAAAAAAAAAAATAATATATATATAGAACAAAATTAAAAGTGGATCTTAATTTACGGTTAAAGCTAAGTGAAATTAACCAGACATAAAGAGATTGATCTCTCTTAAACAGGCCCAAATTTCACACTAAATTTTAGAATTAAAGTATTACAACTCAGATTTTTATAATTAAAATGGTAACCAATTTTAAATCTAATACATTTGATATGTGTATATTTAATACAGATACCCAATAGGTTGTGCAAATGGCAAACTATATTTTTTTAAATATTTCTATTGAGAAATTGCAAAATAATCATTGTAAGATGCAGTGGTCGCATTTAAAGTTTTTAAATATTTGTTTAGATGGTTCGCATTAGTCAAAAGGTTGAGAGCCTCTCACACAGATTACTGTCAAAATACTTGTTTTACACAACAATTTAACAATTCAAAATAATAAGGAATTAATCACGCTTTGATTTATTTTCCATAGCAAAACTTTAATCACATCCAAACAGAACTTCTGTTTACAAACTGTTATTATCAAACAATTTACAATAACACTTCTTCGTCAGTGTTATCAAGATTACTCACATTTTCCAAAAAAAATAGCAGGCAAGAAAATGATACGTAATATACACAAATACCAACAAGGACAGCTGAACGCGTTTCTGTAACTCTATCCACAAAACTGATCCTTACAGACTCTTTCTTTTACTTTTTAAAGTAATTTTTTTCTCGTTTCTCTCTACTGGCACTCCAATTAATTAAAGCATTTGGTTGGATTCTTTTTTCTAAATTTGTTCCATTGAGATAATGACTCATGGGAAGCCTTATTTAAGGTCATGGGATCTTAAAGATGGGATCAAAACTAAGAACGAATTGTTCACGAGTCCGTTAATTAGTAAAAATAAGAACAGTTTGCCAAGCAAAACCAAATGATTAGTAAATTTCGTCCGCAATTACATGTGAACTTAGTCTCAGCAAACTAAAGATAAATAAAGCAAGCTAAGTCACCGATAAATTATATACAGACACACACATTATAGTATATATATATTCCGTCTCCACCATTTTCGAAAATTTAGAGAACCCGTAGGCGACCACTCCATATAAATTAAACATATTAATAATTCGAAGCAAAATATACCTTTAATCCCATATAATTATGATTTGCTGTTTTTAAGAGTATAATCTGTGTTGGGTGTGATGCGTTAACCATGAGGCTGGTTATTATCGGCCAGCAGGGTTGAACACCATTCGTATATTAGTTTCCGTTCAGACGGTGGTATAAAAGTCAACTGGTTTAAGCCGAGCTTCGTTGCTCGATAACCAAACTTTGCTACGCGAGAAAAACTAGTTCAGGAGTTTTGCATAAAG